TTTCATTGCAATGTACATGGCTATTCAGGTATCTCTGTGGTGTGTTGGCTTTAACCATTTTGGGAACATATCTGTGAGTGAATAGTTGTATCAAATGATAGATCCACTTGCAGGCTTTTGTAGAAATTGCCCAATGATTTTCACAATGACTCTAATTTACATTCTCACCAACTGTGTAGAAGAATTTGATGAAAGATATGATAGAATATTTGATAAATAATTAGACATTCTGAAGAAAAGGCAAACACATTTTGGAAATGAAAAGATCAATAAGTCAAACAAAAATAGAGTGGACATTCTCATCCGCAGACCAAGAAAACAGAATCCCAGGGCTTATGGATAAAGGTGATAAATCATTACATTTAGACAGCAATAAAGGAAAAATATAAGAAATAATGGAACTGTAGACATTTAAAACCCAAACACATATCACAAGAGAAGATGCTATTCAGATCATATTAGAGTTAAAATGTAAGGAGTTCAGAGAAAATAATTTTGGAAGCTGCAAGAAAAAAATGCCAAATCACTTATGAACTCAAACCTATTTGAAAACAACAGACTCCTCAGCAAAGTCTTTCAAGGACAAGGAGATATGATACAATGCATACTCAGTTCTGAAGGAAAAGAGCTGCCAATTTAGATTACTATATGCAGCCAGGCTACCCAACTGAATTGAAAAAGAAATACATATCCCTTTTCATGTAGACCTTGTCTGGATTTTGTTATGAATGTACCCTTAAATTCCTAGAGCATCATATTTATTATTTTCCAATTCTCTGGAAAAGCATCCAAAGGGAGTTTTATTTGGGGGCTGTTTGCAGAATTCTTAATAAAAGTTTGGGTCTTTTACTCTCTAGTGAGACATTATAATATGTATAGAAACACAGGTTCATATGTTTTTGCTTCATAACTTATGCTTCCTAGAATAAAATGAACACTTCATATTAAAATATTGCAGGACTGTTTAATCATTCTCTACTGAGAGATTTCAAGGCATTTCAGAAATGTGAAAGCCCAAATTTATTAGTAATGGTTACGGTTTGTGTTTAATGTCCCCCCAAAGCCTTATGTGGATGAGGTGGGACTTTCTTTTTCAGAGGAAACAATTTGGAATGTGTGAGGCTGGGGTTAAGGGTGTGTGATTACTACACCACTACATGTGAGTGACTAGTTTGGCACTGCCCTAATCCCAGTAGTCTGAATAAGATAAAAGGGGCAGAAAAATATAGTTAAATTCTCTTGTTACTTTTGTTGCCTTGTGTGCACCATGTTGTTTCTCCTCTGTGATGCTTGTCTGCCATCCCAGCCTTGGATCCAGCCAATTATGGACTGAAACCTCTACAAACTGTAAGCCAAATAAATCCCTTCCCTCCAACTTTGGCTGTTGGATATTTTGTCTTAGCAATGAAAGAAAAGTAACTAACAGCAATATCGGTAACGTGTGATGGATTATTTTTGTAGTTTATCATCTGTAAGACAGCGTGGTACTTCATCAGAGTACACAAGTACAATACATGTTGACATAAGGAGATTTGAACTTGACTGAAAACTATGAATGGTTACTGGTTATGAGTTCTGTAAAGTATTAATAGCTTACTCAGCTTGGATTTGCTTTTAACATAATATCCAAGTTTCTAGTGATCACTACTGGGAGTATGAGGAGTACACATTTTCCTAAATGTAGTTTCCACCAAAATACAGAAATTTTCATTCAATCAGAAAATAATTTATTTTCTAACACTGATCTCTCCTCACTCTGACTAAAATTTGTGACATTTGATTAACATTTCCCTTTTTCTTATACCTCTTCTTTACCTAGCTTCCAGTGACCACTTTTCTACTCTGTTTTATGAGATTGACTTTTAAAATATTTTACATATTAATGACATCAGTAATATTGTAATTCTGTGCCTGGTTTACTTTATTTGAGTTAATTTCTTCTAGTTCCATTCATGTTTATCAAAAATCATAAGAATTCCCTCATTGTGACATGTTTAGTATTATATTAATTCTTTTTTTCTTTTGAAAACCTTTAGAATTGGGTAAGATGATTTACAATGTAATAGTAAATATTCTATGACATTTTTAGATTATTAAAAGTTCTCAAATAAAAGTAAAGAGATTTTGAAATATTTTCTTTATAATAAATGTTAGCAACTTACCCTTGGTCTCGAATGAAGCGTATAGTGTTGTTTTCTCTTGTTTTGTTATTACCAAATTTGTAAAAAAAAATTGTGTTAAATTATTAACCAAAAAACTGTGCTAGGAAATAGAAATTTTAATACTTTACACACCAATTATGTAATAGAAAGATCATTGATTTATGCTTTTATTAATTTTTCATTCTTATTATTTCTTTCACTTATTGATCATCTACTATGTGTCAGAATCCATAGTGAGTACTGAGCACACGATTTTGAATAAGATAAAGTCCTTGACTTAGAGGATCTCGTAAATGACAGGGTCAGAGTTTAAAGCAAACTGCATCACAGTTATTATATATGTTATGGCAGTGATTCCAGCCCAAAGGAAGAAGAGCATCAAGGATTGCAAAGGAGTTTCATAGATAAAATTAATAATCTAATATAAAATCATCTCCTGAAGAATGAGTCCAGATTACCATCAAAGGGTGTGTGAAAGGTGCAGAATGGGCAAGCTGGAAAATGAAATAGAACCCTGAGAGCCTATAAACATTTCAAAATTTGCAAGATTTTAATTGCTATTGAAATGCAAATTGCCCAGAACTTTTAACCAATAAGTCCGTATAAGGAATATGGGCATGACTTGTAGAGACAACTAAATTCTTAAAGTTTTTTTTTTTTTTTTCTTTTGGTACCAGGGATCGAACTCGGGTCCTTGAACTTGCTGGGCAGGCCACCGAACCGCTGAGCTAAATCCCCGGCCCTCTTAAAGTATTTTAAATCAAATTTGTTTTTATAGAAAATAACTTGGCAGTAGAGTATTACTGGCAGAAAATAGAAATGATATCAAAGCTTTAGCAAGGAGTGCAGTAATAGGGACACCTCTCTTGCTTCTGATGTGGGTGTGTGGATACGGTTCTTTCAGAAATCAAAGGAATTTTTTTAAAAAAGGAAGACTAAAACATTTAAAGATAAGTCCCCTGAAATTTTTATCTTTACCAAAGTTTATTAATCATATCTGTAAGATACTGTGGTGAACAAGAACCCATTAGCATGGAACAAATGTATTGTTTTTTAGTGTTTTGGCCTTACAAGGAAGAAATATATACACTTAACATAAAATTCCAAACTATCCCTGATAGGTTTAAAATGAAGGTTGAAAGATCAAAAAGTGTAAATGTGCTCAGATAACGATGAGATGACATTCTTCATAAGAGGTGAGAAAAGTAATAAAACTGTCTCATAGATGAGTAGAAGAAAAGAGGACTGAGGTGTTGGTGGCATCTGATTACCAAAGTACTGATGTTTGGCAAAGCAGCATTCATGGAAATAATTCTAGAATATGTGTATAGGGGAGATATCGATTGGTTCGGTAAGTTTACTGGAGTACTGAATAGTTTTTTTTTTGTTTTTTAGTGGCACATTTTAGGTATACAGTACAGTTAATTCATCATTGGGATCTTGTACCTTTCCAGGGCATAGCTTGGTTCTTAATTTTTCCCCCTTCCCCTAGCCTCCCTTCACCCTCTCCGCCCTTCCCTATTTACAAAGAGTTTGTGTTCATTTTTTCCTTTTTCTCTTATTTTTTCTTTTCCCTTCTTACCTTTCCCCTACCCCTCCCTCTTCCCCTACACCTTGATATCTTCTTTCCTGTTACACAATATCAATTATACATTTGGATTTTTTTTTACACTTATAGTTTACCAGAGAATACTATTTAATTTTTATTTTCAGAAGTTAGCTGGGAGCAAGAACGCTATTTGTACTACTAAATCAATATAAATAAATTATATAGTACATGTTGAAACTTGTTGATGTTTCTTCATTTAAGGGCAATAATGATGCTTTTTTAACTTAGAAAAATATTTTTAATAAAGGAATAGAAGTGACTTTAATGAATTTTCCTATCATTATTCCATCCATACCTGAAAATAATTTATTTTCTGTTCATTTGTAGGACCAAATTCATTTCCACTTGTATTTGAGGAGTAATGATAAGATTTATAATATATGCATTTTCATATGTTGAAAAAGTCATATAATTGTAACTGTTAAAAATAGGTCACTCAGGGATAGTATCATTTAGAACTTTCCTTTCACGCAAGAACCAGAGGGTTTAACATCTTGTCAGAACACACAAACAAACAAATTACAGGAGACTTGGAGATAGAGTGATAGGGTTCACAGTCTAATCTGTGCCTTGACCATGTTAAATTTAAAGGAAATAGTATAAATGAGTGGGTTGGGGGATGCAGACTTCCTAAACCAGTTGAGTACATCCACTAACTAATGCAGGTTCAAATGTGAAGATAATGAACAAATAGGAATCTTCCTGCCCCTCAGGTCTTGATAAATATGCCCTAGTCTTCATGCTTATTTTAGATTTGAAATTTACCATACTGCCTAAAGTTCTTGTGAATTGCCACGAGAGAGGGGCTGGGAGGAAAAATTGTGATGATCGTCCTAACTTCTACTGCCACGTGGGTTCTGAATTTCTCCCGTAAAAGATTCTGTGTGGCACCACGCTGATATATATGTGAAAGTGATTTCCTTCGCTCCCATTACCATGCACAGTCATAAATATTTATGATCCTGATTCATTTCATTGAAATAGTAAAGGCTACTAATTTTCATCTTAAAAAAGTACAAATACAACCTTTTTAAAATCAAATTTTCAGGTTATTTAGCCTTTCTTCCAATGAGAAATAGCTTTATTCCCCATTAGAGATTTTTAAGCATAGCAACCTAGTTAATGTGTTCAATTATTTATAAATATAAAGTAGAATCACAATCTGTATCTCTTTTTTTCAGTATAGTACAGAAGAATATGTCACTGTACAATAACAATGAAAACAATAATTTAGTCCAAACCAGTGAGCCGAACTCCATGCCCTTCCATAGCTTGCCATGTGAGAATTTTTGCCACATTCTTTTACTGAAGAGGGGATGGATCAGATCTGTAGTCTGTAGAAAATGAATTTATTTGAATTGTTATATTTTATTTTAATAATCAAATCCTTTTAATATATATCCCACAGATAGTGCACCCTTAGACTATGAATGATTTGAGGTTTATCTGAAATTTCAAGTTGCTTCATTGTCCTATGTTTTTATTTGTCGAACTTGGCAAGCCTAGTAGTATATTTTCAAAAATTCCTAATTCGTGGAAAATTTTTGACTTTTAATTTTGTTCTGCTGTTAAAGTACATATCTATTTCATGTTGTTTTCTCCACCCTTTAAGAATATCTTTAAGGATTATCAATTTGGTCTCAATATGGAGAGTGAGAGTAAGTTTTCATTGCCTAGAATCCTGTATTTAGTTAGTTATTTATGGTAATTCAGTTGAGCCTCAAAGGAGATGATATTATAGCCTTAATTCTTCCAGAATTTTAAAAAATTATTCATATTTCCAATATTAAACCTTATAATTATGACCTCAATAACTTCTTAGTCTTCACTCAAATGTTAAACTTTTGAGGACATTCTAGTTTCTTTCTCATCAATATATTTTTCCCTAAATCAGGATGTGTGACAGTCTGTTTGAAAATGTTGTCACTGTTCATTCATTATGTTATAATCACCTTGTCTGGGAAATTATCATAATCATATGGTGGTGGAAACTAGTTTATAAACTTTGCACATGGATGACTATTGTATACGGATATTATATTTTATATTAAAATCTTAAAGTCTTTCTCTTTGAGATATGCAGTTTTATATATTAGACAATACTTTCAAATGTCACCCCAAGCATAATCACAGAATTAGAGCTTTTCCTAATTTTCCACTTATTTAAATAAATTATCTAACACAAATGTGAATAGGGCAGAAACCTTAAAAAATAATGGTTCTGAATTTGTTAAAATAATTTTTAAAAATGCACTATATGCTATGCAGAGCTTCTTAGGAAAAAAAAATACTAAAACCCAGTAAAAGGTCAACAAAAGCCCATAGCTTTTAGGATATAAAATGAAATCTGCAACCAAAAGGATTGACTGAAACAGAACTTTATAATTTTCCTCTCGGAAGCATAATATAGATAAAATCATGGCACACTCTTTGAAAGAAAGATCTCTCCCTCTTCCATTTGAGAGTAAGTTTTGTGCTGTTTTATTTTCTTTATGTCCATAATTTTTAAAAAACATTTTGTTAGAACACATTTGCAATGCATTCATTGAATCAATTGGTGGAAATATTGTGCTATATTATTCAAATGAATCATCAGGTGATTATAATATTTTTAATTGAGTTTATTGGTACACAGTACAGTTTTTAGGTATACAGTACAATTACATTCGTTATTGGGATCTCTTGTACCTTTACATGACAGGTCTTGGTTCTCTTTTTATAATGTGTTTTTTTGTGTGTGTAGCCAGTTATTTTTAAGAAATTTGAAATGTGGGCTGTGACCTCCAACCAGCAATTTCATGATTCCTTATTGAATTAATATAGTTTATATGTTCCTTTTTATTAAACAGTACTAGATTTGTTTTGTAGGTTTAAATTTGTAGTTCTAGATTTCATTTGATTATTAAAATAGTATGGAAGTCAGTTTTGGAAAAGGCATAACGTTTATACAAGAAGATATTTCAGGAAGATTAAATAAAACTGAAAACAGTTTAATCTAAAGGAAATGATCTAAGACATTTTTAGAAATTATTTTAAAAAGGTTTGTCCACTATAGTATTTTTTAAAAGAAAATTTATCCACTTCATTTTTAAGGAGAAAAACATTTTCTGGTTTTTCTCAGTTAAATTACAGACAGCTTCTAGGAGTCTGGAAAACCCAATGGAGTCAGTTGGCCAAAGTTTAAACTCATTGTCATTCAACTGACAAGGAAGATGCTAGAGTGCAGGACCTCTTCCGACGGCTATGACCCCATATGAATTCAGCTGCAATGAAACGAACTGAGGTTGTTCATAGATTGAGACAAACTCCGGGGAGGTCAACGTGATGTGACACGTTCTCTGCTGTTTGCTGATCACTAAGAAGCTATGTATGAGAGGATTGCTAAGCACCACATGAGACCTACCTTTAAGTAACTGGTAATATGCTGCACTGGAACTCACACTCCACATTTTCATTTATGCTTTGCTCTTTGCAGTATGGCAGAAGTCAATCTTGTGACCTTTCCCTCCCTCAGATTCACCTAACTGGAAAATAAGCAGGGAAAGTAAAGAGATCTTTGTTGTTTGATCAGAAAGTGGAAGCTCTGATCCAATCTGAAATAACAATGTAATTTTCAAAGCAATTAGCAGTGACTTAGCAGTGAAGATTTATTGTCTTTAGCTCCTTACTACTTTTACTCTTCTTCCAGTGTTTCTCTCTTATTTTTTATACTCCCGTTTCCAGTCTACCCATTTTGGGAAGAATGTTTGATGCATAAATAGAGAAATGCTCACCATTTTGTCTCTGGACTTGCTTATCCTCATTGCTGTGTTCACGCTGCCTGCAGGCACCGAGGGAGCGGTATTTGGGCACTCTGTGGAGACACCTCACATCAGAGCAGAACCCTCCCAAGACCTCAGGTAAGTTCTCCCTCCTTTCCCCCTGCCATATTATATTATTGTAATATTATAAGTTATACTATTTTATATATTATATTTTATATTATTATGTTATATATTATATTATATATATGAACATCTTCTTTATCCAGTCTCCAGTTGATGGGAAATTGGGTTTTTTCCATGTTTTAGCTGTTAAAATATACCGTTTTTAAGCTTCATCTGATGAGGAAAACTGTTTCATTCCTCCAAATTTTGAAAGTAACACAATGACCACATAGAATCTGCTAAATACTTTGATTTAATTAAAAAGTCTTTGTTTATAAATAATAACCTAGACACATATCATTCAAACTTTTAGCTAAAGGTTAAAAAGTGTCATCTTAGAAATGATTTGTGTGTACTAGAAATATTAGATTAATGATTCACAGACCTGTGTTGGTTTATACTAAGATTTCCTAAAGGACTCAATTTCTCCCGATTTAAGAAACAGATTCAACAAGCTGATGAACAAACAGTACCAGGAAATTGAGCTTCATTGTATGATCCGAACACATTTTAAATAAGGGCAAAATAATAAATATTTACTCTATGTAAAGTCCTGAGGTATTTAAGAGTGTGGATGAGTGTATACAAATAGCATCTCATAATGTGCTAAAATATTGATTTATAGCCCTTTTCTTAGGAATTTAGAATCTTTTGTGCATTTAGTTTATTATATTACTCCTAACAAGGTCATAAACTACAATAGAATAAGAGCCACAAGTTCTTTGCATATCCTTAGTGCTATAGCAGCCAAAATGATATCTCATAAATAATAATTTCATAACTATTTATTAATTTTGACTACTAATCAGAAAATTTTATAATGAAAAAGATAACAGGGGTAGGGATTTAGCTCAATGGTGCTGCTGCCTGCCTCACAAGTGTAAGGACCCGAGTTCGATCCCTGGTACAAAAGAAAAAGAAAGAAAGAAAAACAAAAGAAATGTGATATAGCGAATGTGGCAGCTAGAGGAAATGCGGATAACACTGATACCAACCATTTTACAACTGATCTCATGAAGAAATCAGATAAAGTAAAACCAGTGAGGCCTGATCTTACTCATACCTCGAATAAAGAATAAGTTAAACTCACAGAAATTAAGAGCATAATGGTGCTGAAAAGAGGCTGGGGATGTGGTGAGGGAGGCAAGGTGGAATCTGTTCAGGTTACAAATTTTTGAGGAAATAGATAAAATAAATTCAAACATCATGCAGTGCACACATTTAGTAAAACTTTAAATGGTACCCCATACGTATGTATAGTTTTTATGTTTCACTTGTAAATTAAACACTGAATTTAAAAATGAAAACAATAAATTACAATTAAATTTAATATATGTTTAAATGTACCAATGCATTCCAAAAGAGTTGAAACTTTTTAATTCCTAAAAAAATCACTTCTATCATTTTAGTAATTTTATTTTTTGACTAATAAAATCTATTATTAAAAGAGGAAGGAGAACTAAATGCTACTTTAATAATCTGGCTGACATATCTCAAAATTCACAAGTATGATTGTGAATTAAATTATACTTAATTTGAATTATAGTTAGTATAGTAATGTTTCTGGATTTTATTTTGAAATCATCCATCCATTATTTAAACACATTAAGCTAAGCTAAGCTTACTCTTCAGTGCTAAAAGCATATTTAGAAGCCCCAAGGTGAGTGATACTAATCTAAATTCTGAAACTGAAATAAAGACAAAACACAGTAATGACTGGGATATTTAATTATTCATTTGTGTACCAAAAATTAAAGCAGAATGCCTGAGAAAATCTTTACAAGCCTGCTCACAAGTTTCCTTTCAGGGCAAGAGAAGTACTCTTGAGTTGGCATCTGAAACTAATCAACAAAATGAGATGAACTGACAAAAGGAAATAAAATAGTTGTTTGGGGAGTAAGAAGTTATGTTGTCTTCAGTTCTTTCGTTATTAAGAAAAAAAAGACTAGGAAAGACTACTTTAGATGTTTTTAGTACAGTATAATGAATACTTTTTGTAGAAATATGGATTTGTATCATTTACTTCAAAATATTTTTCATCATCCAATATGCACCAAGTTCTGTACTAGGTTTCATGTGCACTTGTGGTTTTTCTTTGATTTATTACAAACTGTGATGCTGTTTTAATAGCAGGAATGCATATTTTTAAAGGCCAAGAAAATACATACTAGGTAATTGGTGAGGATAGGATAGTATATTTTCCTGAAATTGTACAAGTATTAAAACTATTTTCATTTTAAATTAATATATAATTAAATTATTGTTGTTCAGAGTTTCTTCATCCTATGGTGAAAAGGATGAAGGCCACTTGGTGGTTCTCATTGTCCGAAGACAGTTTAGATATGACATCTATTATTTGTTCCAAAAATAAAAAATAAATCTTGACTTGGAATCAGCAAAATGAAATAATTTAATATTTAATGACATGATTGGCATTTTTGTCATTCTCATTCTCACACAAATACAATTGAAAACTGAAGTGCTAAGGTTTGCAGAATTCAACTTAATCTCTGGAAACCTGTAGCTCTAATTTACATCAATTCTGTATTCAAACAAAATCTACCATACTTTAAACAGTAAGTATTTTTCCTGGTTCACTTTTCCAGGAAAGAGGTAAACTACTATCCTGCTATTTTTTGCTCCTTGAAAAAAAAAATTATCTACCTATCAACTGTCTACCTATATATCTAAAGTAGTACATTTTATTTTATTTTATTTTATTTTATTTCCTTTCTTTTCCTTCTTTCAGAATCTCCCTTCCCCTTTTTTTTTCTTTCCTCCCTTTTTTGCTTCCTTCTGGTATGTATTTGCAAATTTATTTAGAGTTATAAGTGAGTGAGTATTATAAGAAGCTTACACTAGCTTGAAGTCTTGGGAACATTGAGCATTTGTTGATCAAGAGATTTGGTTGATCTAATTTAAAGGAACAAATTGCAATGGAGGTGTAGAACAAAAACTAATAGGATTTATAACTGAAGAAAGCGCACAATAATCTGGGAATGATGAGACAGTAAGATTTCTGCTATGTTTCAGTGGCAGTTTGCATTGGTTATTTTTTTTAATATACTTTTCTCTTTAGTTCTATATTCCATCATTAAAACTGCAAATTACTCTACATCTTTAGCAGTATTAAATATTTAGCTAAAATGAACTACACAATACTTACATCTGAAAAATACTTACATTCTATTTAGTAATTACATTGCAGCTTTTGAAGAATGGATTCCCTTCGCAGAATATTGAGAGGCTTCTGCAGGAGCAGGCCACTACGTTTTTAAATTTAATCACTGTATGATATCTTAAACAAAAACTTTCACTGAGATTCTACGATAACTTGAGAAAGACAAAGTACATAGGAAAAACAACTCTATTTTATACTACTGTGATTTGTAAAATATTTGTACAGATGTTTATCCTTAATTACATTATCACATAACAGAAAAGATTAAAAAAAATCCCTGAAAAATGCAGAGGCACACCCATGCCCTTCACACACTGCCTGTGCACAAATACGATGGCCTTGGTAAATATATTCTGTAACCATTGGTTGGTTGGTTGGTTGGTTTGGTGCCAGGGATCTAACTCAGGCCTTGTGCTTACAAGGCAGGTGGCAGAACCACTGAGCTAAATCCCGAGTCCCTTCTGTAACCACTGGTATTTTTAACCTTTTTGGTCTTCTGACATCTGTATCATTTATTAATCAGTGATATATTCATCAAAAAGAGGGTAAAGTCTTTCTCACAATAAGATATTTGCCTTATTTATTCTGCAAAGCAACTTCGTATAAATTTGCATGTATAAATTAATATATAAATAAATTTCATGACCACATATATTCTATATGCATTTTCCTTTCTGACGTTTGGCTTTCCATTTGCCTTCAAAGATTTCCTTTTTCTCTAATTGGATGTTTTTTGTTCTTCTAATTTTTTACTTTGCATTGTAAGTTATTTCTTAACATTTTTCCTTTGAAAAAGATAAAATTAGAGATTGCATTCTGAACTTTCTTCTAATATTTAATGAAAATCAGTTTCTCATCTATGCATTAGTTTTAGTATTTTCAGTAGATAAATCTAGAAGTTGTTTTGGGAACGTGTTAAAAGCTAATTTTATTTTCTTCAATACAGCTAGTCAATTTATTAAATATTATTTTTGGTATCCTAGTAATTTCTACCCTGAGATAAATTTTAAATTGGTCAGATATTAATTTCTCATAAATATTTTCATCAGTTTAAGATAGTATTGTGTTCCAATAACCAATTTTTAGATTTATGATTGAAAAATATTAATTAAAAGTATTAACTTTATGCAAAGCATTTATTTATTTATTTATTTTTAATTTTCTTTTTTGGTACCAGGGATCAAACTCAGGACCTTGCACTTGCAAGGCAGGTGGCAGCACCACTCAGCTAAACCAATGTACTTTTTAAAAACAATTCCTACTTTATCTCACTAAAAAAAAAAAAAAAGAATAAATCTGCATATACCTAATTCCTCCAAGATGTGATTGTCAATATTCAAGGTATACATGCAGTTTCTTTTCATTTAAAAAAATCTGTGCAAAAATATACATGAAGTTAACATGTACATATGCTGCGTTTTGACAAATACGTACGCTTGTGTAACCCAGATAGCTTTCAATATATAAATCTTTCTTTTCCTTTACGAATATTTCTTCATGCTTCTACCTATTGAATTTTCACACCACTCATGGGAAAAGACCTCCATTATGTTAAAAAGAAACTATGGATGAAACTCATTTAGCTGTAAATATTAATACCATATAACATAGACTCTTCTTTGTAAGGTTTCATTCATCCTACATAATTCTGAATATACCAGAATTTCTCAAAATGGCTATTTCATTTTACCTACTTCTTCATTAAAATTAGATGAAAGTTTCTTCTTCAATACTGTCAACAATAGC